GTGTGTGTGTGTGTGTGTGTGTGTTTGTGTGACAACGAGGATTTCCTTGCCAATCAGAGCTTGTAGGGAGTTCAAAGGAAAAAGACTAAACTACGCGACTGCAATAGGGTTCAATATGTGATATAATTAAGTATTTTGAATTGTACCTAGCAGCAATGATTACAGAGGTTAGAATCGTGACCACCAGTCCTGTATATACCAGTTGCTATTTTCCATTTAGAGTTATAATTATAATTTGAACATTGAATTGAAAATTCATGTGAACATTAAAAGTGTTTATATTTAAACACATACTTTTTTGTTTGTTTTTCAGACTGAATGGCTGTTTCCTCTCTAAGAGAAGCTGCGAATCTCTGTCCTTAGTTCTCAGCTCCCAGTCCTCTAATCTGAGAGAGCTGGATCTGAGTAACAACAATCTGCAGGATATGGGATTGAAGCTTCTGTGTGCTGCACTGCAGAATCCACATTGCCTACTGGAAACTCTCAGGTTGGTAAATTTCAGTTGTTGCTGTATCTTAGTATTTGTAACATTTCTTAGTCGCTGTAAACTGCCACATTTCTGTGTATAAAATAAGACAACAATTTCATTCAGTCCTGGAACATAAAAAAAATCCAAATGCGGTATACTATAAAGCCGATTGTTTTGTTTTTTTTGTTTTTTTGCCTTTGTGTTCTTTATCTTTCAGGCTGAATATTTGTAATCTCTCAGAGAAAAGCTGTGAAGTTCTGTCCTCAGTCCTCAGTTCCCAATTCTGTAATCTGAGAGAGCTTGATCTGAGTAACAACAATCTACAGGATTCAGGAGTCAAGCTTCTGGGTGCAGCAGTGCAAAATCCACATTGTACACTGGAAACGCTCAGGTCAGATCAAAGGATATTTTATTTTTATTCCAATTACACATTTAACCAATTAAGCATTTTAGTTAATACAGGTAAATTTCATTCGTTTGTCATTGTATCTTAGTATTTGTAATGTTTTTTAGTCACAATAAACTGCCATATTTCTGTTTTTAAAATAATAAGGCAACAATTTCAGACAAATTCAACAATTTCAAAATGTATTAACTTCTTATATCACTATCAATATAATGTATTTGTGTTCTTTATTTTTCAGGCTGAATTCCTCTAATCTCTCAGAGAAAAGCTGCAAAGCTCTGTCCTCAGTTCTCAGCTTCCAATCTTCTAATCTGAGACAGCTGTACCTGAACGACAACAACCTGCAGGATTCAGGAGTGAAGCTTCTGTCTGCTGCACTGCAGAGTCCACACTGTACACTGGAATC